ATAATATGGCACACAGAGAAGACCAGGTTGGTGAGGAGAACTGGAGACCAGGCTATAGCAAAATCTTTTGAAGGAAATGAAAATGTTTAGCCCGGAGAATAGAAGATGAAGGGAGTGGGGAAACAAAGGACTTCTGTCTTTAAATATCTGAAGGGCCATCATATAGAAGAGGGTTAGACCTGTTCTACTTGGTCACAGAGGGAAGGACTGGGTACAGCTGGTGAAGACTGCAGTGGGTGAAACCAGCGTGAAGCAAGGAAAAATTTCCTAATAATCAGAGCTATTCCAAAGAAGAATAAGCACAAGAGATAGCTCTCTGGGAGAGGCCAGTGATAGAAAAACAGAAGACAGAAAAGATGGACAGCTCTCAACACAGCACATAGCATTTATTATATAGGCTTTCTTGAAATGGAAATTTATTGCTATATATTTTGAATCCTCTCATGTTCTACTGTGCGCATGACATGCTTTTTTTCTTTTTTCTTTTGTATTTAAGTTTATAATATGTTTCTTTTTCTTTTCTTATTGTGTATTAAGTTTTAGTAATAAAAAAGAGCTATTTTTCAAAAAGTAGTACGGGCTGCCTTAGGAGGGGGGAAAGTTTGTCATCTTAGAAGAGACTAAATGTCCGTTCTTTTGTTTTTGTTTTTTGGTGAGGCAATCAGGGTTAAGTGACTTGCCCCTGGTCACACATCTAATAAGTGTCAAGTGTCTGAGGTCACATTTGAACTCAGGTCCTCCTGACTACAAAGCTGAAACTCTTTCCACTTCGACACCTAGCTGCCCCAAGAGGTCCATTCTTTAGGGAGGATGTTGTAGCAAGGAAAGGGAAAGGAATGAGCATTTATGTAACACCTTTGTTATTGCTGTTGTTCATTGGTGTTATGACCCCATTTGGGGTTTTCTTGGTAAAGATACTGGAGTTGTTTGCCATTTTCTTCTCCAAATCATTTTATAGATTCAGAAACTGAGGGAAACAAGAGTTAAGTGACTTGCCCAGGGCCACACAGCTAGTGTCTGAGGCTGGATTTCAACTCAGATCTTCTTGACTCTAGGCCTCATGCTCTAACCACTGCACCACTTAGCTGTCCGTATCATATAGCACCTGTTGGTTTATTGACTGGACACAACTGAAACTATTGGACAACAACATCTCATTTGAGACTCACAAAAACCAAGCAGACCCCAAGCCTAAGAAAATTTCCAAAGCAATCTACTAAGAAATAGAAATCTAAACAGAGCATAAAATCAAACAGAAGGTTAGAGCTAGAAGAAATCTTAGAACAAAGGACATGGGAGAATTGGAAGAAACCTCAAAGCCAAAAAGCTGCCAAATTTTTTTTGGTGAATTTTACCTTTTCCTGAGGACATCATTATGAATGCTGGTTACTAACAATATGGTGCCATTACTTAATTCTATGTCTACTTTTGAGATTCTCTGTCTCCTCTCCAGGTCAGGCTTTAATTTAGCTCTCTGGTGAGAGTGACACACCTGTGACTCCAAGATGCTGTAGCACACACATTGGCCACACCACAGTAAAACCAGCCTGGCGGACAGACTAAACCAGGTTGTGGGTAACCTATAGGCCTCAGACCCATAGGCGAGTTAGAGGGATGGCTACCCCAAGCATGTGAAGATGTTACCTAGTGGAATGGGCAGGTGAGAACAATCAGATCCAATGGCCATAAAGGCGGCTGAAGCAGGAGCTCTGGGGCGTTTAGCTTGGTCAGACAGCGAAGACACCAAGGTCATCCACTGCATCCTAGGCCATCACCAGCTATCCTGACTTTTGTCCTGCCACTGGACTTTGATGACTGGAAGAGAAAGTGAGGCTGATGACTTTGCACAACTCTGCCTCACTTAAATCCAATTCACTCGCCAGTCAAGACAGACCTGTGATGTCATCGGTCCTCTTCAAAAACAAAGGGTGAACAACAATTTAGCTTTCAGCTGTCACTTCTACTTCTTCTCCCTTCCTCCAGGACCTTCCTCCCATTTTGCTGGTTTTAATCTACTTGAAGTTAGGAAGCTAGATAACTTAATTTATTAAACATGCTATGCTAAATGAGTCACCCAGGCTAGGAGTGCAGGCCTAAGGAGTAAAGTGTATGGCTTTCATGCAGTGACTCTGGCAGCAATTTCAGCTGGCCTGAGGTCTTTTTTTCTTACTCATTTCCAAGTTCGGGGCTCTCTTCTGAAGCATTGCAGTTGCTAGAAATGTGACTTCTGGATTAGTGGGTGTTAAGGAGGGATGGGAATTAAATGGGGTTTATCAGGGATGGTTTCCTGGAGATGAGTTGGAGGGACAGATTCAGAAGAAAGTGAGACAGACATATGGACTAGAAAGCTGTCTTCAGAGAGCTTGAAGGCATTTGTTAGGGTCAAGCTGGCATCAGCCAGAAAGAGCTGGACTCTGGAGTCAGAGGTCGTTGACTTGTTTCAGTCACGTACAACTTTCATGGCCCTATTTGGGGTTTTCTTGGCAAAGATATTGGAGAGGTTTGCCATTTCCTTCTCCAGCCCATTTGACAGGTGAGGAAACTGAGGCAAACAGGGTGAAGTGACTTGCCCGGGGTCAAACAGCTAGTAAGTGTCTGAGGCTGGATTTGAATTCACAAACACGAGTGACTTCAGGCACAGCACTCCATGCACTATGGTACCACCTACTTGCCCTCTGGAGTTCGAATCCTGCCTCTGCTGCTTACTACCTGTGTGAATTTGGGCAAGTTCTTTCACTTTCCTGGGCCTCAGTTTCCTCTTCTGTAAAATAAACAGGTTGGATGTGTTAGTTGCTGATGTTTCTTTCAGTTCTTCCTTTCAAGACTAATCCCAATGTGGTTTAGCAGAAGGAGCTGTGGTCAAACCACAAGATCCTGGCAGCATAGAGACTATCAAATGTAACCCCCCCCTCCCATTTCACAGAAGAGGAAACTGAGGCCAAGGTAGGAGAAGGGACTTGCCTAACATTCCACAGGTAGTGATCATCAGAGGTGGGATTTGAACCCATGTCCCCTGACTCCAGAGTTACTATATCATGCTGCATCTTGCCTCAGTTTTCTTATCTGTAAAATGGGGTCAGAGTTGGACCAGCTGATTCTTAAATTCCCTTGCAGATCTCCAAGTGATAACTGCTTGCAAACGTGATTCTAAGGGTGCACGAGTGGGTGGCCAACATGATGCTCTTGTCCTACATATCCAGGCTCTTTATTGTTCCCTCAAAGGAAGCCACAAAACTTTTCCTACCATCATGCTGGGTGAGCCNTCACGAGTGGGTGGCCAACATGATGCTCTTGTCCTACATATCCAGACTCTTTATTGTTCCCTCAAAGGAAGCCACAAAACTTTTCCTACCATCATGCTGGGTGAGCC